CTTTAGCCGTTTTTTGGCTTTTCAACTCGATTTTGGGTTCCTGATAATGTAATTGTTTTTTTTTTTTTGCAGACTTCTGATGGGACAAATTTGGGAGACGGGACGCGATGCAAATCTGAAAAGGAGGTAATTTGCATCGAAGAGATTATGACTTTAACGGAAAAAGAACGGAAGAAGAAAAGAAAACGGGTACTTTTTTAATTTGTTGTTTAGTTCGTGAATTTTATTCTTTCCTTTGATTTTATGCATTTTTTCATCACTGGTGGGATGCAAAAACGCATATTGTGGAAAAATTGTCTGTGTGATCAGTTTTAGAATATCTACAAAAGCTATGAAGCTGAAATTTTGGTAACTTAGCTTACTTGTGTAGATGGGTCTCTAGACGAAAGAAAGAATGTTTACGTTTTGTCATTTACAGACACATTAAGAGTATTTAAGATGGGGAATGATTTTGGGACCAGGCAAGCTAGAAGGCTGAAATTTTAAGAGGATGTTCGCTGTCCTTGTATGGCCGTAAATGTAAATCCTACTTTTACTTATGCCTTTTCACTAACGGGTGACCTATCAACTTGAGTCCTGTGTAGGAAATCGAAGTTTTATTGGGTAATGTGTGCATTGGCGATCTTTTAAATACGCGAAATCATGCGAAAACGCGTGACTGTACCAGCTGTTCTGACGGGCACCAGTTATTTGTAATACCTTTTATAGTTCCAGCGGTTTTGTGAAGAAACAAAAATTAGGTTAGAATATTCTATTTATTATTAGATTATTGGAAAACTTGGTAATTATCGCCCTTTTGGGGGAAGGAAGGACTACTGTGATCCTAACTCACAAGCCCTTTGTTCAGGAGATACAAGCAATCAGTATTCCAACAACATCGGATGCTAGTGCTAACAGCAGGAGGAATGCTGAAATTCCTGAAAAACGTACGCGAAAGCCCAACTGGACAAATGCTGCAGAAAAGTGCGACAATCAGGTGGATTATAGCAGCCTGGAATCGACAGTTTTCCCTAAAGGTATTTTTTAAGCTCAAACTTTAAAAGCATGTTCAATTTGCTGCACCTTTCACGTAGAGTTGGGCTTTTTTTTCATCAGTGACATTTTTTTTTCGGAAACGCCGCAATGGTTGTACTGATAAAGTCCAGTTGTGGTGCTAAACAGGAATGTATGCGATCCGGTGGACTGAAATAGGAGGGAGGAAGGAAGGATTGTTTTTTGCATATAAATTATATCTCATGCATATATATGTACATACATGCATGCATACATACATACATGCATACATACATACGTACATACATACATGCATACATACATACATACATACATACATACATACATACATAC